AGATAGAACAGTATATTATATTGTAACAGTAGAACAGTATATTATATTGTAACAGTGTCAGATAGAACAGTATATTATATTGTAACAGTAGAACAGTATATTATATTGTAACAGTGTCAGATAGAACAGTATATTATATTGTAACAGTGTCAGATAGAACAGTATATTATATTGTAATAGTGTCAGATAGAACAGTATATTATATTGTAATAGTGTCAGTTAGAACAGTATATTATATTGTAACAGTGTCAGTTAGAACAGTATATTATATTGTAACAGTGTCAGTTAGAACAGTATATTATATTATTCCCATGAGATGTTAGTGTGGTATGTCTCATTGAATCACCCTGTATTTCAAATGCTGTCAGTCCTTAATGTTTGCATTTTACATATTTACAATTTCTATATGCACAGCTGTTAGTACTTTAAAGCTTTGGTCACATACTCTAACAGCCATTTTCAGAGTTTCTGGTTTTCAGTTTTTAAGATGATTAACAATTTCTGTAATCTTTGTATCCAAATCAGTTTCAAACGTTTCACCACTAGTACTAGCAACTTTAAATCTTACTGTGATTCCCTTCAAATTTAGTTTTGGGAAACAGTAAACATATAAAAATGGTGAACATTTTCTTCTTCGCTATTAATAAACCTGATTGCCAGTTAAAGTCGGATCAGCAGGCCTGCTGAATTGCTTATCAAATATTATTGTTGACAGCAGGTTTATTTTTATGTTTTTGAAAGTTTGTTCAAGAAGAATTTTAATTTAAAATGTTACTTTTCATATCACATTTTTGTACTGAAGTAGTAATCTTGTGATACAGAGGCTCTAGAGTAAATCAAAAGAAAGATAAACAGAGTAAATAATTTGTTGATAGAATTATATGTTATTCCAGCAGATTTATTGTCAATGTTGCATTGTATATTAAAAATAAGAAAATGTGATTGTTCTTTTTTTTTTTTACCAAGATGAAACTTTTGTAAGCAGTATTTACCACCATACAAAAAAAAAAAGTCTGCTGTTTTCTTAAACCTAATTTCATGATCTCACATTTACATTTTATTTGTACTTGTAGGAAGATTTACGATAATAAAACTGTATGCATGTTTTCATCTTTCTCAGGGCCATAATGTTTTATTCCAGAACCTAAATATAAAATGCTCACAATTTCGAGACTTCAGAAAAACAGGATCTTGTATTAATGGGAAAGAAGACATCATCTGGTCCAGGAAGTTATTCTTTTTCTCCGTGGACCTAGGATTTGGCTCAAGACCTCGACCAGAAAGTTTCTGTTAACACAAAGTACAACCCCGATTTTTTCTTCTTCTCTTCTATATTTGTTTGCGCGCATATCAAGGTGTTAAACAGCTTACAGTTGTGATACTGTTTCAGAACTGGTCTAGCAAGCTAGAAACGTATCACCGCAACAGGGATAACTGGCATTATTCCTATGTTCACGTTGCGTTGTTTCCGAACCTCAGTGCAGGAAGACTTTTTTATTGGCTCTAGTGTCTTTATTTCTTATATAACACTAATTTATTCTTTTACCATGTCATTTTTTTTTTTGCACTTTTGTTTTGGTTTCATTAAATAATTTCTTACATTTGGAGGTGACATTCTTCTAATAGTTTGTGTCACACAGCTTCAGCTTCGATACTACTTGATCAGCTGGCCTGACAGTTGAAGTAAAATATTTTTACAGGGTGTAATATATGGAAAACAATGTAATGTAAAATTATCATTTTAATTAGTGTTATTTATTTCCAGCCACTGTTTTGACTCCAACTAATTATTGTGACTTAGAACTCTTCACTGCCACTAGTGGCCATATGTATCACATTAAATTGTTTTAACTTGTGCTATGTGAAGTTTTTTTTTTTCTTGCTTTGTACAGTGTTTTAAGATGGTTGAATTTGAAATAACAAATTAAGCTTGTGAAAACCATAGTTGAGTAAAAATTCGTTTTGACTTGTATAAAGCACTGTTGACATTTTACAGGCTGATGGTTACATTTAGTACTCAAAACGTTCTTTGTGCTTCTTCTGGATTCCCATAGTAACATCCAGTGAAAGATCCCAGAATGCCGATGGTTACAGTTAGTACTTAAGATGTGTTTTGTGCTTCTTTTATCTGTAAATGAAAGATCCCAGGCTTAAGTTCAAATTTACTCAAGGAGAGAACATTTCTCATGCAGTGATGTTACATAATTTGTTTTTTATGTATATATATATATATATATATATATATATATATATA